GGTGAGGGGTTGGGGTTTTAAGCTGTCCTCCGCTAAACCCAAATTTGTGGTTTTTGGCTATCACACGAAGGTCTCTGGAAGGGGTTTGCTACTGGATGGGTTGGAACTGGAACGGGTTTCTTCTTATGAGTATCTTGGACTGTGGTTTGATGAGAGGCTCACGTGGGGGTGCATGTTCGTAATTTAGTGGGGAGTGTGTTGAACATTATACGCTGCCTGGCTGGGAAATCTTGAGGGGCGGACAGGAATTCCTTGTTGCTAGTGTATAGGGGCATGATTAGGTCGGTTTTGGATTTTGGTTGTTTCGTTTATGGATCGGCAGCACCCACTACTACCGCAGCCTTGCGGGTGTGTTGTGGGGCCTTCCGCTCGGCCCCGGAGTCGGCCCTTCTTGTTGAGGTGGGTGAGATGCCCTTGTGTTTCCACCAGCTGCAGCTGCTGGGGTTACAGTATCGGCTGAGGGTCAAGGGTATGGGTGAGTCCTCCCCTGCGGAGGCATTGTTGGGCTGTTTTTGGGGGTTTGAGTGTGGAGGTCGGCTGGCTCGTGGGGGCTTTCCGTATCTGCTGAGGTGCCAGGCAGTGGAGCTAGGATTCCTTGAGTGGCCTGTGTGTTCCTGAGGTGGATTGCTCCTTTCTTGAGCGGGGTCTCGTCAGCGGAGGGGCGTTTGAGGTTTATGTGGGGGAATGCTGGGGGAGTATTTGCAGCTGTACTCTGATGGATCCAAGGACCAGGAGAGTGGCAAGGTGGCAGTGGGGCTGGCTGTGCCTGCTTTAGGGTATCGATGTGGTCGTAGGATAGAGGATAGGTGCGCTGTGTTCTCCGCAGAGTTGGTGGCGATTTGGTGGACCCTGCAGTGGATTGAAGCACGGTTGCCGTCCCACTCTGTCATGTGCTTGGATTCTGCGGCCGCTCTTTTGGTGATGAATAGGCAGTGTTCCCGGTCTAGGCCTGACCTGTCGGCGGTGATTCGGATGCAGCTGCACAGGTTGTTGGTATTGGGGTGTTTGGTGAGCTTTGTGTGGGTGCCTGTTCATGTAGGGGTGGTGGGCAACAAGGAGGCAGATGCTGCTGCGAAGGATGCGCTGTGGCATCAGAACGTGGATGTGAGGGTGGGGTTGGGTCTACCAGAGTGTCGCTCTGAGATTGGTCGAGTGGCTCTAAACACGTGACAGGCCTCCTGGGATGCGGGGTTGACTGGGCAGACGTGTTACGGGCTGTGACGTCATGTAGGTGCCCGTGGGCTGGCCCTTGAGTGTGGGAGGAGGGATTCTGTGGTTTCGACACGCCTGAGGTTGGGACATAGCTACCTTAGGGGAGGTTTGTTTTTGGTGGGTTGACATCCGGCTGGCTGTTGTGCTTGTGGGAAGCAGGAAACGGTTGCTCATGTTCTACTGCACTGTCGTCTCTACGTGGTTGAGCGGCGGGCCCTGTTTAGTTTCCCGGGGACAGTGGGTGTGACTGTGTTTGGCCTGCGTACTTTGTTGGGGTTGGAAGATCGACGTGTTGAGGGGGCACTTTTGGATTTTCTTCGAAAGGTGGGCCTGTACGAGAGGGTGTGAATCTTGGGCTATTGGCCATTGTTGCTGGGGCAGCAATACTCCTTGAAGGCGTCTAGCCTGCCGTATCTCCCATTTGAAGAAGAAGAAGAAGAGCCAGGGAAAAGAGCAGCTGGGATGGCAGACAGGAGAGCCAGCTAAGAGGCACAGACGCACCCTGGAGGGTGGCGTTTCGAGGACACATTCGCTTGAACCCCCCAGAACAGAGGAGCACCCGGAGCACAGTCCTGGAGGATGGATGGCGGCCAAGTGTGGAGGAGCGTGGGCGTCCCTCTCTCTGCACATGTGCGGTACAGGTGCCACTGTGTCTGGTCGGGGCCTGGGACGGAGGGGGGTGACGTGTCCACTGAGCATGGCTGTGCCAGGGAGCTGCAGGAGAATCGGAGGGGAGGACCATAACCAGAGGTTAACTGTAGTCTGCCAACGTGACAGGAGAACAGCTGAGTGTGACGGCCACACAGGCGGACCCTGATGGGGACCTCGGCTCTCTTGGACTGGACAGTGAGTGAGAGACAATTTTTACAAAAAACAGAAACTTTGTTTTTAGTTACTGGTGATGCACTATTTTAAATTTTGTAAATTAAAGCACCTGTTTTCTACCCGTTTCTGTGACTGCTGTTTCCTCCTCGGATCAGTTGGTGAACCTTTGAGTTCAGCCCTAGCTGACACTGTTATTCAACAAGTCTCCTGTACAAAACTACGGCATCTCAGTTATTCCAATTTTAATAAAATGTATGGAATGCATTATGAGTATTATCATCGACTGAAATCAAGAACGTTTAATAATTCTATTGTTTAATTAAAAATAGGTTACCTAAGCCATCAGTTATTAAAACGTACAATATTTAAAATGAAACTTTAAAAATGAAGAAAACTTTCCAGAAATTAGACTGAATCAATAACATTTTATAGTTTTTATTCTCAGTCGACATATTTGACTGATGGTTTGCTGAATATTCCACAAACAAATGTATTTAACTTTGTGTTTTATTGATAATTTTAACACAAGTCTCTGTAGAGTAAGTTGTTTAGTCTAAATAAGATGAAGCGTTTATTAACATGTGACCCTGTTTCATGGTACCTGTGTATTTCTATTATATGTAGATGATTCTCCAAGAGCAACAACACACAAGATGATAGTGACGGAGCTCCAGCCTCTGTCCATAGTGGAGGCTCAAGATGTTCAGCTATCTGTCAGGCCTCTTGACCCAAAGTGTCTTCCAGCTAGAAACCAACTCATCTGTACAAAGCTATAACCTAGATACGACTTTCTATTTAAATGTTACAATCAAAAATGTTTGAGCAACGTATGGGATTGGCGCCGCTGATGCTGTGCCTTGTTTTACTTGGGATCGGATCAAGAAGGAAATCGGTGGTTTCTCACACCCATACCGTGTTGCAGTAGTGGTTCCAAACTACAGTTAAAGTGCTGAGTTGTGAACAAGGTGTAACTATGCATCCAGCGATGTACAACGGCACCATAGGTCCCCTCTGTGTTTGGCACATGAAGGTGTAGGTCCTCACCATCTGGTCCATGGTGTCTTATGGTACTGATGACTTTTTTCTTTCCACTTTGCTGTCAAGCATTGTGGTCAGAATCATCCACACACAGATGGCAGCTAAACAGCTTAGCAAACTGTGAGTGACTGCCACTGTTCCTAACAACCTTTTGAACACCTACACTGATGTATTTTCCCCAAAAAGCACCTAGAAATGTTTCTGATGACCTTAAGCTGCTTTCTGTTAAACCTTCCAGTCAATAGTGCCGGCAGAATTGCAAGACCCAGCCTGCTTCTTCCTAGGAGGGGATTGATCTGTGCACATGCAGGCTGAATGATTCTGTTGCAACCAACCAATCATCAACCGTACTCGAACGGGCAAATGAGGAGTGTGCAGCTGCAGACACAGAGCTAGCTGACTTACGCCTGCTGTAGTTTCACGCTGACTGTTTACACTCCAGGTGTGAATGTGCTGTCACTGCGCCTGCAGCTGCCAGGCACTCTGGCCCTTGCTGCATTTGGCATTGCCCCCCCCCCATTACAAAATGACAAAATGACTAATGAAAGGCCGTTTAGGTTTGTAAATTGGTGGGTACATGTCGTATGAACAGGCTCTGTCAACGATAGCAGAAGTACATTTTCTGCAGTCATCAATGGGGTCGCCTGATGCTGCACTTCTCCTGAGCTGATGATAGCCAGACCACTCGAGGTTCTTGATGAGCTTCGGTTTGAGAAGCTTCACTCAGCACAAGCAGCTGTAACAGGCAGAGGTTCAGCATTTGCTCTGTTATGGCCGGCCACCCATCATTCACTAACCCTTACTGAATCCGACAGACGGGTAGAGCTGGGCCAACATGTGCAGAAGTTTTCTTATCCATATATTTCAACATTAGTTGGTAGCATGGACTGACCCTGAGAGACAGTAGTCTACGTGATACGCAGGTTTACGCTGTGTGACCACTAGAACAGCTCCTGCCTTTCACACTGACAAAGATGCGAATCAGCATGGCTCTGTGACGTGTGCCCTTGACCACAAGGGCACACGTCACCAGAACCGTTACTGCGGGTCACACACACACACACACACACACACACCCGTCTTTATGCCTGCACCGTGCAGCCAGCGTCTGTCCCCTGAGCTGCCGGCTGCTTCGCGTCCTGTTACAGAGTGGTTGTTAGTCTGCTGCAGCTGCAGCTCCTCGTCTGCTTACCTGAGCAGGAAAGAGGAGGTTTATTTATTCTAGCTTTTTCTGAACCGAGGCACGATGCTCCTGGTTAGGAAAGCACCGCTCTGCCACCCAAGCAAAGGAACAAGGAAGCTTAAACACGGCTGATGACTGACGTGGTTCATTTCTAAAGCTGGTTGCTTTACAGATGACGTTATTTGTGGGGTTTGCACAGTTTGTTGAAACTATTAGTGTTTGTAAAGTTTTTATTCTCTTTGTTTGACGTGTATTTGTCTTTAGCTGCTACAATGCATTTGTACATTGTGTATTTGTTACATGAAGCTTTATTCAGATGCATATGAATCACCTGATGGGCTGCAGTGGAGGGCTGGACTACCGGAGACTATGTCAGACCGGTGAAAGGCATCTATTAACTGATAATGTCCACTCCACATCCATGCAGATCCATCCTCTCCGCTGTCTCATGAGGAGCAGCATCTTTATGACCACATTCCCACTTTGGAGGGAAGTAAACTTCCTCGTTTGACATTTTCTTCCTTGTTTCCTCTTGATCTCATGAATCTTTCCAAACCTCTTTGGAAAGCTGTTTAATTACATGTTTACATATTTTTCTCACTTCTTCCGTGGATGTCAGGTTTCAAACACCTACATCATGCAAACATCTCATCTTTTTTTCCCAAAGAAAGTAAAAGTAAAGTTTTGTGGCATGAAGTGCATCAGAGGTCCAGCCTAAGTGGAAAGAGTTTTCTCCTCTTACCTGAGCAAAGATGAGCAGGATGGAGCAGCAGAGGGGCAACAGCATCTCTTCAGTGTGAAAGATTGTCTGAAATCTCAGAAGCAATGTGGAGAGCCAAAAGGTAGGCCCGATGGAGGATTGGCTGGACTGGGAGAGGGAAAGTTAGTCAGGGTGGGGACCTGATGGAGAAGGGAGACAAAGCGCCCCTCTGTCGAATCTGCAAACACACCTTTCCTTGCCTCGCAGATTCAGAAGGGAAATATTTGCCTTCATAACGGCTGAAGGACTCAGAGGCCTTCAAATTCTGCCCCTGTGTTTATTCTTGGTGTGTGAATGTCACTGATGTTGGTGGTGGTGCCAGGAGGAGCTACGTCTTTGACCCGCGTGGACACATGCAGCACAGGACTTACTGGGCTATTTTTAAACTGCTGTACAAAACCTCAGTGTGTGACTCGGTTCTTATGACTGAGTCCTTTCACTGCGCTGATACTGGTGAGTCTGGTGAAGCTGTGTGGTGTGGCTCAGTGTAAACAGGCCTTTGCTCTTTGGAGAGCAGTGATGGCTAACCCATGTGGGTTGTTCCCCAGACTAACGTCTTAGACACTTATCACCCCTAGGGGAGGCCAAACTACCATTCTTATTATCATTTCCTCCCTCAACAACACCCAATGACGCTAAAAAATTACTAAATACACATTCTGTAGGGACAGCAGCAGCTCAGGAGGTAGAGTGGGTTGTCCAGTAATCAAAAGGTTGCAGGTTCAATCCCAGCTCTGGCCAGAGAATGCTGCTGTTGTGTCCTTGGGCAAGGCACTTGACCTCCCTTGCCAGCTGGGGGTGGTCAGAGGAACTGGTGGTGCCAATTCAATTCAGTTTATTTATAAAGCGCCAAATCAGGACCAGAGTCGTCTCAAGAACCTCCACACAGTAAACATTCCAGTAAAGGTCAGGTCATTAAGCCAATCAGTAACAAGTTTCCTATATAAGGAACCCAGCAGGTTGCATCGAGTCACTGACTAGTGTCAGAGTCTTTACAGCAATCCTCATGCTAAGCAAGCATGCAGCGACAGTGGAGAGGAAAACTCCCTTTTAACAGGAAGAAACCTCCAGAGGATCCTGGCTCAGTATAAGCAGCCATCCTCCACGACTCACTGGGGATGGAGAAGACAGAGCAGACACACACACACACACACACACACACACACACACACACACACACACACGCACGCACGCACGCACACACACACACACATATACACACACACACACACACACACGCACGCACGCACACACACACACACACACACACACACACACACACACACACACACACACACACACACACACACACACACACGCACACTCAAAACATGTATACCAAGTAGTGTTCCATGGCAACATGGTGACTTCTTAGTAAATATTCTATTAGAAACCAACTCTTCTGGAGTTCCTAATGTAACACCAGTGTGAGAGTTACTATATTAAGTCATTCGCTGCCAGCGTTTCTCACCGTTTTTACTGTTTTTTAAGAGTCACAGAATGATGCACGCTAGGATGATGTCGACGCCAAAACAACCAAAACAACCAAAACAAAGCGGAGACTCACCTCTTACATCAGGAAGAATCCGCGCGTTTCGAACTTTATCTGTTCTTTCATAATCCGTTGTTGAATTGTTTTCGGCAGAAGCTTTTCCGGTTCGCGCCTCACCTTTATTACAGCAGCGGCCCAAAACGATCTCCTAACACATGGATGTTCTGCTTCCTGATCACGTGACGTGTGACGTATGCAGATGAAGATCGGCTTTAGAGCTGAGATGTTTGTTCTCACGGTGCGGGGGCTCGTCCGACGCCCACACAGTAAAAAAATGCAAATGACGACGTCATTGGCAGTGAATGAGTTAACACTTAGACTGGTGTTAAATATTCAACTCATGAACAGTTGGTTCAGCCTGCTCAAGGTTTTTAATGATGTGTATTGTAGCTACTGACTCTGCTGACTGTGTTGTCCTTGTGCTTTTAGATTTGACAGCTGTGTTCGATACTGTGGATCATAAAATCCTGCTTTCCCACTCGCAGCAGCGGGTGGGCATTAGGGATGTGGCCCTGGAGTGGCTCAGGTCCTACCTGCTGGGCCGGACCTTTTTGTGTGCATCTTAGTGACCACGTGTCTTCCTCCACTACCCTCTCATGTGGCGTTCCACAAGGCTTGGTTTTGGGCCCACTCTTATTTTCTGTATATTTGCTACCACTTGGCCTCATTCTCAGAAAACACGGCATTCCTTTTCACTGTTATGCTGATGACAGCCAAATTTATGTTCCCCTTGAAAATAAAGATTCACATTCTATTGCGTCATTACTTATGTGCCTTGATGATATTAAGGTTTGGACAGCAGTAAACTTTCTAAAAGTCAATAACGAGAAAATGGAAGTAATGATTTTGGCAGTTCTACCAGCTCTACTGAGATCCCCAGTGTTTATCTAGGTTACCTGGCCCAGAACAACAAGCAGCTCATCACAAACCCGGTTGTGAAAGTAGATTCTGACCTTAAATTTGACACATAGTTTATATCAGTGGTTAAATCCAGCTTTTTTCAACTGAGGCAACTTTCCACGCAGCTTTTTGAAACAGTAATTCACGCTTTTGTCACCACTCGTCTGAACTATTGCAATGCTCTATATGCAGGGGTTAGTGCATCTTCAGTGCCCGACTCCAGTGGGTGCAAAATGTTGCTGCTCGTTGTTTTTAGCCGGAACTCGTAAAGATGAGCACATAACCCCTCCCCTAACCCTTCTAATAACACCTGAGCTCCATCACGTCTGAGACTGATGCATCAGTGTTACAGCGGGACTAAAGACATGGTCAGAAACAGGTTACAGTTGGATGATCTAGGAAGGTAGAAGATCAGGACGTCTGAGCGGTGAACAGGTGAGCAGACCTGCAGCAGCGAATCTGCGGGTCTGCAGCCGTAGACTATTCATCACGTCTTCCTCGTTCTTCACGGCCATGATGTGCTTGGGTGAAAACATCTGCCTCTTTAGCTCCCGATCAGCTGATGACAGCTTCAACACACCGCGCTGTTGAATTAGTAGCGCATGCATTTTCTCATCAGTAACGAAAACGGTGTTATGATAAAAGAACACAGCAATTAATTAGATTACTGGTTACTGAAAAACAATTTTTTTAGCAATGCCTTTATTTCAAACGACGTTATTCTCATCACTGGTGTTACAGAGCAACTATATTACTCTTTTTAGTGTTAAATTAACTCTACATTTGCTTAAACTGGACCAACTCCCCATTCGTTGACATGAACAGCCTCTGATCTGCACGAGACTGAACGTGGCAATCAACAATCACGCCCTTTAGCCAACGAGGCACAAACGGTTGGTGAGTGTTGTATAAAATCACCACAGCGCCCCCTACATACCTTTAAAACTGTAATAATTCCTACAGACGAGGTCGCAATCACACAGAGGCACCCAACACAATCCTGTGGTCATTGGTTTATATTCCTTTAGCTCCGCCCCCTGACAGATAGAAGGCTCTGAATAACACATGCATGATGCAAGTCACACCAAACTACACACAAATGATTGTTGTTGACCTGCTAACTGCTCCATGGGATATTATTGTAAATTTGGGACAGCGCCCCCTAGATACTATAAAACCTTAGTAACTTCTACCTGTCACGGTGGGGTCCAGGCAGTAATCCAATCGCAGGAATAACACACCTTGGTTCTGGTTCAGGGTTTTTAACAACTAAAATTCACCACACACAGTGGGAAAAACTGATCAGAAAGTAACTAACATGAAGGCACACTGGCTCTTATCAAGCAATGCAGAAAAGACAACGCCACACTGAGGGCTGGAAAACAGTGGCTTAAGGGCGGTAGTTGGGCAATTGCAGTCAGCTGCGACACTCCGGAGAAGCCTACGGGGGGCAGGGCACCTGGAAGAAGCTGCAGCTGACCTGCACAAAACAGAGAAACAGAGATGATCAGAAAACCAGTAAAAGAAACCAAAACCTGAATAAAAAGGATCAACCCGTAACATTACCGAAACGCTTCAAACTACGTCAAACATGGTGGGAGTCATCACGCAACTGCAATCAACACATATGTGCTCACTGGTTCAAATGACTTCAACTCCGCCCACTTACAACCCTTTGGCTCTAGATATCACATGCAACGTCTGATTGATGCCAAAATGACAGAAAACCATCTCTGATTTCATTTTAATGGGTCACAGCGCCCCCTAGATGAGTTCAAATCATAATAACTTCTAAAGACAACGTCAGAATGGCATCAAACACACAACTTCTTATTGACCCCAAACCGACACAAAACCATCTAGGTCAGCCTAAGATGACCTCGATGGTATATTAATGTAATCTGTCACAGCGCCCCCTACATAACGCCATATATTCAAAACTTCTAAGATAAAGGTCTGAAATGCTTCAAACATCTGCTCACTAACATTTCTGTGTGAGGCCCCCAGGCCACCCCCCATCCCCTGATGTATTCTTTCTGTCTGTCTCAGAGCTGAGGACAAGACTGGGACATGTGGGGAAACGTGTCAAAAACGTGTCTTCGTCTTTTCTCAGAAGAGCAGAAACGTGTTAGCAGAAGGGAAACAAAGGCTTTGCTACATTTAGAAAACATGCAGCCACCGTGGCGTACAAGGGCCAGGTCTGCCAACACCGGTAATGTCCACAATCACCGGCACTTCCATCAGGAGATGTCGGGAGTGCAAACGTCAGCAAAACGACAAACAAGCACATCAGACTCTGTTCATCACTGGCAACGAGTGAAGAGGTAAATGTGTAAAAGAACAAATAATCTTCATCACATATGACAATCATATGTTCATTTTTATAATAATATTAATAATAATAATGCTGATAATTGTAATAATAATACATTTTATTTAGCGGCACCTTTCAGGACACCCAAGGACACTTTACAACAGAGGGAAAAATAAATAAATAAAACAAGATAAACACAGTACAGAAATATGTAAAGACACTAGGATGCTAAAATAAAATAAAAACGGATGCGTTTAAAACTATTTTTGAGGTTACTCATCAGTATGCTTGGTGGAAAATGGCAAGGCTTACTTCTTGTCCAATCAGAAATAAACGAAGGTGGAAAAACAGTTTTAGGAGCTACAGACGACCAGAGACGATATCCATTTCTCAGACCCCCACTCACAGACCAGTCTTTCAGAACCCAGCAGGTTGCATCGAGTCACTGACTAGTGACCGAGACAGTTGTCAGCTGCTACACGACCTAGCTGAAGTGGTAGATCTGCATCTTAAGAAAACAAAAACAAGTTTATTACTCACAAGAGCCAAGACTGGAAGCAAATCTAAGGTTGTTTTTGAACACGTCCTATAATGTACCTGTCCTAATCCCACTTCACACCTCGAGCTTGTTGAAGCAGGTTTTCTGATGATTTCCCAGCTTGGAGAGCTGATTTAAAGGATGAAAGCATACTTGTGAGAGAGCAGTGTGTGAAAGCACGACGTGGTCTAGTTATGTGTGTGTGTGCTTGAGGCAGTGGCCCTAGGCGCATCACACCTCTCAGAAGAATAATTACACCGTTTAGTGTAATCGCTCACGCTTCACCTCAGAGAGAAGTTTTAGTTCCACATTCCAGCTCTGCTGAGACAGTTTCCTGGTCTGAACCTGTCACTCACTCTCATTCATGCACAGGTCTTTGTGGCTTTAACCTAAGAAAATACATCTGATGCTTTTGTTCGTTTTCAAGAGATACGCTTAAAATATCAGAAGAATTATTTAAAGAGAACATGTGACCTATGATGTCACCTTTTAGTTCAAAAGTAGAATCAGAATAATGCTTTCCTGCCAAGTACGAGGGAGAGTGTTTGGTGGATTGGTGCAAATGCACCGGTGAAGAAGACGAGCAATCAACATGAGAAACCTAACGTGACTGTTGCAGATCTGTATGGTTGCCATGGTTACTGGGTGTTCAGGAGTCCTACAGTGGTTTGAGGTTTGAGGTTCTGGTCTGGATGGACTTGAACCTCCGGGGTTAACGGACTGTTTCCATGAACTGGATGGGACGGGTCATCTGAACACACAGTTCCAGTCCTGCCCAGTACGACCGTCTAGTTCGCGATCCATAAACTTGTTTAATTACTCCATACCAGAGACACACGCAGGCCCTTCTGTGGAACATCACACTGCTGACTCACAGGCAGGCACCAAAAATTGATTTTGGCTGTATTGATATACAATATTGAGCTTATTTGAACCTTTTTCAATTTTAACCCCTTTTTAAACCGTAACACATCTCATGAATACGTTTGCATGCGTTACATAAACATCCAGCTGTGTTGTGCAACTGTCCACCTGGAGATGACTCTGGACTGACCTGGTCGTACTGCAAGTTAGTCTACGGACTACGGTACTTGGGGACCTCCGTCCCCCCGATATCTCGGATCCAAAAGGGCATCTCCACTTGGGTACGGAGAACACAGTGAGATTGCGTCTGAGGTGGTTTTTGATAATAATCAACTCATAGCTTAATGCAAACCAAAATCTTTTACATCCAGAATTCAGCTCTCCTAGATACAGAAGTTCTGACTAACATCTCATTCACACATAGGGTCCATCCATCACAGTAAATGCTTAGTTAACTTGTCATGTTTTAATTGTTTGTAAAATAAATTCAATCCCCTAATAAATAAAGAATCCTAGAATCTTCTGATTAAAGCCAAATAAAGACCAGGCAGGTTGATATTCTATATCTAGATAGAGTGTCACAGCTTATTGGTCATAAGTGGAGGTAATATATATATATATATATATATATATATATATATATATATATATATATATATATATATATATATATATATATATACATATATATATATATATATATATATATATATATATATATATATATATATATATATATATATATATAAACTAGTTAACTCTATGAAGACCTCTGCATGCCCCCTCCACATCTTACCCTCATCTTTGTTTAAAAGTGCTTTTCAGTCCATCGGTCCCAGCGTGCTCTCTATAATTAATGCTTCTCTGGTCTCTGGTCAGGTCCCTGCTTATTTTAAGAACGCTGTAATCCACCCACTTCTTAAAAAACCGAGTCTCGACCCCTCTCTCCATAGCAGCTTCAGACCCATCTCTGAACTTCCGTTCATCTCCAAGATCTTGGAAAAGGTTGTGGCTAAACAACTCACAGCTGCTCTTGATGAACATAACATCTATGATAGCTTCCAGTCAGGTTTTCGTAGAGCTCATTCTACTGAAACAGCTCTTCTTAGGGTCTCTAATGACCTTCTGACTCACAGTGATGCAGGGGACTGTTCTGTTCTGGTCCTGCTGGACCTGACTGCAGCCTTTGACACTGTTGACCATCACCTGCTACTGGAGAGGCTGAGAGACTGGGTAGGCCTATCAGGATCTGCTCTGGAGTGGTTCTCCTCTTATCTCTCTGAGCGCTGCTTTTCTGTGGCCGTCTCCAAGTTTAGGTCCTCCACCACCTCTCTTACCCATGGTGTCCCACAAGGTTCTGTGCTGGGGCCTCTGCTCTTCCTCCTCTATCTGCTTCCTCTTCAGCACATCCTGAGATCCTTCAAAGGAATCTCATACCATCTTTATGCAGATGACATCCAACTGTACATCTCCTTTAAGCCCCATGAGATGTCTAAGCTGCAGCTGTTACACACCTGCTTAGACTCTATCAAAACCTGGATGGTGGGAGCTTTCTTCAGCTGAATGAAGATAAGACTGAGACCCTCATCTGTGCCCCAGACAAGCTGGTTCCCGAAGTCAGAGACTCTCTTGGTCAGCTTGCTTCTCTCACCAAACCTTCTGTCAGGAATCTTGGTGTGACCTTTCACCCAGCTCTCACCCTGGATTCTCATGTCAGTTCTCTTGTTGGCTCTTCCTTCTTCCATCTCAGGAACGTTGCTAAGCTGAGTCCCATTCTGTCCTGCTCTGAACTTGAGACAGTTCTCCACACCTTCATCTCCTCACGCTTAGACTACTGTAACTCTCTTTTCACGTGTCTGAGCAGAACCTCCCTGAACCGTCTACAGGTGGTTCAGAATGCCTGTGCTCGGCTTCTGACCAAGTCCTCCAAACACACCCACATCACCCCGCTTCTCCTCCAGCTTCACAGGCTGCCAGTCACCTTCAGGGTTCATTTCAAGATCCTGGTTCTGGTCTATAGGGCCTTACATGGACAAGCACCATCTTACATTGGTGATCTTCTTAGTCCCTACACCCCCAGCAAATGAGGCCAGAACAGTCTCAATAAGAATTAAGTCACACAACATTTTCCACAAAAGCACACGTTCATTCAGAAATCCACACTCTGTGTTTCACACATATAACTCGGAGGAACACAAATGCACACGCTCATTCGGAAATTCACTAAATATAATGTGAAAAAAATAAGTCACGCAGCATTTTCCACAAATGCACACGCTAATTCTGAAGTTCACACTCTGTGGTTCACAAATATAATTTGTAAGAACACTTGTACTATAAACTCACATCAAATCAAATCAAAGCTTTATTTATAAAGCGCCTTCCGCAACCCTGTCAGGAAGCCCAAGGCGCTGAACATGGTACAGTACAAAGTTAAAGAAAGTGAATAAATCAGACAATAAAAGCAATTCAAATTACAGATTACAAATTACAAAAAAGGTGAAACATTCTAGTAGAAGACAAATGTGTAAAACAAGGGAAAAAGTGAACTAATGAAAACTGTGAGATAAAATCAACATACAAGAGGGCCAAATTCAAACATGTTCAGGAAACGCCAAGCGGATGAGGTGTGTTTTTAGGCGACTCTTGAAGACTGGCAGAGATGGGGACAGCCTAACTGAGGGTGGCAACTGGTTCCAGAGTAACGGTGCTAGTACTGCGAAAGCCCGGTCCCCGCGAGTACGACACCTAGAACGAGGGACAGCGAGCAGGTCTTGGTCAGAGGAGCGCAGAGCGCGTGATGGGGAGTGTCTATTCAGGAGCGTGGCTAGATAGGGGGGAGCACCATCCTGGAAGAAATCAAAAACAAAGACGAGGAGTCTGAAGTGTGAACGATAGCAAACCGGAATCCAGTGCAGGGAGGCCAGAACCGGACTGATGTGGTCCCGTTTCCTGGTCCCAGTCAGGAACCTGGCTGTGCTGTTCTGCATAACCTGTAGGTGATGCAATGATGACTGACACAACCCTGCATATAGAGAGCTGCAGTAATCAAGCCTAGAAATTACAAAAGCATGCAGTACCCACTCCAGGTGGGCTCTCGACAGCATATGCTTGATTTTTGCAAGGCGTCTCAGGTGAAAGAAACTGGACCAGATCACAGAGTTGATGTGAGCATCAAATTTAAGTCCAGCATCAATTTTCACCCCCAAACTGGTCACAACTGGTTTTGAGTAGGGAGAAAGAGGCCCAAGATCAACATAACGGTCCACGTTCCTGCTGTTGGGGTGAAAAACAATGAGCTCTGTCTTTCCCTCATTCAGATGCAGACCTCGTTAACACAGGACACAAAGGACTGGCTAGAGTGACCTTTCTCCTGACACAATGGAGAGTAAATCTGGCAATCGTCAGCATAGAGATGGAATGATAGGCCATGTTTACGAAAGATTGACCCCAGAGGTAGCAGATAAATGGTAAACAAAAGAGGACCAAGGATCGATCCCTGCGGGACCCCCCAGCAGAGCCCCTCCCAAGAA